TATATTAATTTCAAATATAATGTTTTCATCGCATGTCAGTTTCTTAAATTTCGAACATATTTTGTGTGGCAAAGGCAAGTCGAAGACGAAAATATCATGCCAGATCAAAAATCAAAGCCAAACTGTCATTAAGTAATACTATTTGTTTGTTATGCGATGTGTGAACGAAGCTAGTCGAAAAAGAAGCCGGAATTATGGGCCAACTGCACTTGGGTTCTGCACCACGATAACGCATCGTCGCAAACTGCATTGATTCTTCGTGAGTTTTTCGATTAATTTTCAACCAACATTGAGCCATAGCCACCATATTGATCTGATTTAGCTTCGTGCGACTTCTCGCTGCTCGAACAAAAATCGGTACACGAATTGAAAGCTATTCTGGAAATTTACGTTAATAACGGTTTTGAGGATTGGGAAAAAGGCTTACACAAGCGTATAGTGGCCATGGGGGATTATTTGAAAGTATTTGCAGGGGACGCCATGGATTTGGAAGAATAAATTAAGAATTATAAAATTATAATAAAAGTGTTACTATTTTTGGCTCATACACAAAATGTAAATATTAGCATTACTAGCTAAGTCGATTTACACATTTCCATCTGTCTGTTCTTCTGTATATACGCGACCTAGTCCCTCAGTTTTTAAATATCGATCTTAAATTTTGCACATCTTCTTTTCTCTTCAAAACGATGCTCATTTGTTGAAACTTCCGATATTGATATACATATTTGACTACGCTTTATAGCGGCACTTTTTGCAGTATAGAGATAATTTATTTAGAATAAGTTAATGACAGGTTAGTCATCAAAAATATTAAAAATTAAAATCAAAACACATTTAACTATAGACAAGATCATTTGAAAGTTAGTGAGCTTATAAAAAGACTTCGAAATTTAAGAGACTGACATGCGATGAAAAAATGATATTTTTGTAATTTAATTTCATTTTCACTATATTTGAAATTAATATTTTATTTTATTTCGTTTTTAAGAATTGTTAGGGGTAAGGTTTGCCTGGTCATGAGTCTAGTATCTTGCGTTAGAAATTGATTGTTCTTACGAATGGAAGAATATAAAAATATATTATAATGTCATAAAAAGTTGATTATTGAATAGAAACCATATATAATTTTCACAATCAATAAAAATATACTGCAGACAAACAAATTGAAATGGTAGAATGAATAATATCATGAGCACAGCTGCACTTGTGTTTGCAAATGTAGATGAGCGCTTTCGAAATGACAAGCAATTTGCGCGCCGAAACATACTACGAAAGCGATGACGATGAGGTGAAGGGTGTGAAAGAGGGAAAGTATGGCAGAAAGCATTGCGTTTCGAATACATTAAAAACCTAATGTCCGCAAGTTGCTAGTAGCTGCTCCAAATGAAGCAGGAGATAATTATGCAGCACTTGAGGTGGTATTTATTATGCCTACCTTGCAATAATTTCTTGCCTCTCCAACACAATGCGTTATTAGAACAACATGAAATCAAGCAGGATGCCGATTAATGCCTCACGGCAAGTCATTAGCACTTAACGGTTATTCACCGTTTTTTCCTCAAATTTGTGTTTTTGTTTCACACGCGCGTTTTTTCGTTGTTTGATTTCGTTTTTTGCCTAGGAAACACAATCACTAAAATATCTATTTATGTGCCGCTTTTAGCACACTTTCTTAAGTGTTAATATTTTTGTATTTTCAAGTGTACTAATGCTTTTCTTTAGCACTTTTCAACACCGTTCACTATGAGCCGAATAAAAATATAAATATATTGTATAGGTATATACATATATACATTTACCTAAATTATATACTCAGAACATTAGTAATTATTATATTATATAATATATAGACAGCATAATATATGCATGTATATATGTATATACAAATGTATGCAGTATTTAATACAAAATTATACACTAAGCTCTACCGTTGGGCGTTCTACACATTCGGTCTGATTTTTTGTATTTGTTCCGGTAATTTTTTAGTATTTCGTTTTTATTTATTTTGGTTTTCTTTTTAGTGAGCTTTTACTTCGTAAATTTTGTACTGATGAATAGAAACACAAATTTTTAGCATGGTTTACAAGATAGAGATGTGGTGATATACATATAAACAGATTTTTTTGACGTTGTTTATTTGCTTCTATGTAGATATATTGTATGTATATCAACAAATATTTGCACTGATCAAATCTTTTTATGCTTAATTGTATCACACAGTCATGCAGTTATGTCTGTACT